TTTAAAATGCTTAAGATGGTTTATTTTATGATAAGCATATTTAATCACAATAAAAATAAAATTTTAAAAAAAGCAATGCTGCGGAAGAAGGTGCCTCATGGCTCATGTTTAGCAACTGTGACTCTCAGGGTTTATTTCTGGGAAATACCTTGATAGTAATTACTATGTGTCAGCTCCCTATAAGGATGGAAAAGCTGCTCTCCACTTGCTCTTAAAACTGCAGATCTGTTGAGCTGCATCAGGGAAGTAGATTTGCCTTTTTCCCTCCCCTGGAAGCAGAGAAGTATTCTCCCTGCAATTGAAATCTCAACACTCAGGAACAACTTCCCTCGAGAGAGGAAACTCTTTGGGAAAGAGGATGAGAGACACTTCACCCATCCTGTTCTGCCTGCCCTGTCCAAATCAGTCACTTGAGAAGTGATGGAGCTCAGAGGTTCTTTCTGGGCCACTTCAGTAGAAAAAGGCCAGCACTATTTAAGGTTACTGCAGGAGTCAACTCCTCCACAAAGTGTACCTTCAGAACTTGGTTCATTTTAGCTCATGACTTTAGAGGTCACAGGATCCAAATTACTCAGCAACTGGCCAGCACTTTGTCAGCATGTGGTCACAGGCAGGCAGTAATTCATGGTCATATGTACTGACATTATAATGACTGACTAATGGGGGGCAGCAGGGGGTGAAACTCAGAGTATCTTAAGTTATCAATTAAAAAGCAGCCATTGCTTAAGAGGACACTGATAAACAGACTGAGAAAGGCTGTGCTGAGAAGTTCCACCTAATTAAAATGAACACATGTTCCTGATGACATGCTTCTGAAGAGTGGTATAAATAAAGGCACTGAATTTGAGCTGCTTATAGACTCTACCCCATGGTCTTTTCCTGGTTGTGGCAAGAGGGACTTTTACTCTGAGAAGTAGTCCTCCCCTCCCGAGAGACAGACCACTGCCAGGAATTCTCCAAGCCAGTCCACCCACCCTGTATTGGCAGTATCCCCTTCCTTGCCAGTAGACTGACTACCTTCCTCTTTTACTGCCAAATGAATTGTATGCTGAAGTTGTTGTAATGTGGTTTTTTTCCCCAATAAGCCATATTGTGGTTATATGCATTTGGTTTGAGTGGTGCAGAATTTGGCTTGAGTGGTGCAGAAAACCTTTCTGCTCTGATGGAAGCTGGCCCTTGAGACATCCAAACCTGACATAACGTCCACACTATGGGCCATGTCCAACCCATCACAGTGTCGGGCACACCTACAGGAATGTTCCCAGTAAATTCTCCCTTTCTTAAAAGCATGCTCAAACCACCTGACCCCTCTCTGCCTCATTTTCCAGTCCGTTCTTCATGGACTCCTGCTTGCTTGCTCCAGTGTGCATCCTCAGCTTAACTCCTGTGTTAGACACACATGCCTGCCTGCCCTGATTCTGAATGTTGTTTCAAGTTTTCCTCCTGGGTCACAATTTAAGGAACACCCGATCCTAGTCAGTTTGGCTCCTGAACCCACACTCTTTTTTTTTTTTTAAGATTTATTTATTTATTTATGTATACAAGCCAGAGGTGTAGGGGCAGTGAGAGGATTCACCAGACAGTGGGGAGCAGAACAGGCAGACTGACAAAGTACACTGCTGAGGGGAGCAGCGGGCTAGACAGGAGAGGTCTAACACGCCATGTGGGTCACCTTTGGGACAGGGATCGAACTTGCATTGAAGCAGCTGTGGGTCACTTGCAGCGCTAAGTCCTAACCGGTTGCACCACCAGGGAGGGCCCTGAAGCCATGCTCTTATGATTCCCACCTGTGGGAAAACTTGACAAAGAACTCGTATTTCTAATCATTTTATAGTGGTGGTAGATATTCGAAACAATACCTAAAGGATTTGAGTATTGCATGTACATAAGCATGTTCAATTTTAATGAACTGTGAACAATTCCTTAGTCTAATTAGTAGAAATCTGTGAAGTGATTAAAATGTGCCTGGTATGGCAGAGGTTGGCAGCCACAGTTTGACTGTAAACAATCTCTCTCTATCCTGTTACTTTAAGGGCTTCATCTCCCAACTCAATTCATTTCCAGGCAAAGAGAGCAATTTTGGCATAAAAAGGACAGCATATATCACCATAATGAGAAAATGTATTCAAGTAAAACCTAGCATGTTATAGCGTAGGTTCCTAGATAGGCAGCACCCTCCAGAGCCTTCTCCTGGGGCAGACAGTCATCTTTTGCCTCCACTCACAAATGCTAAGTACGGGACCACATTCATCTTCTAAAGGGTTAAGAGAAACATTTGCTTAAGGCAAACGTTTGCTTAAGGCCAATGAAAGAACAGACTCAGAAGGACCAAAGCAAAGATATAAAAAGATTTTGAATCCCTAAAGTTAAAGTTAAATGTCAACAGGCCAAATGGAAATTTGGCTGAGGCTAGATGGCTGGATACAGAGAATAAATCAAGTGACATTCTAGGAGCACCCAGAATCCACAGGCTGATTTATGATCACAGGAGGGTCAACATATATTGCAGACTCAAAAAGGGAAAGCCCTTTGAGGATGACAAAATTACAATGTGTATTCATTCACTCAACATAAATTTATTGAAGACAAACAAAACATAGAAAGTGATACAAGAGGGTCAGTAAGAAATTATTTTAGATAAGTAGTTAAAATTAAGCATGTATCATTTGTACAAAAACACTGAAATTATTTGGAAAGAAAACTCTTAAATATAGCAATACATGGACGGTATTGGCAAATTACCCTTTGTGTTTTCCAAAGCTTTCTGGGAAATTACTCAAAAATTGTTTTTAAACAGGGGAAAGAAAGACAGGTAGATGTAGAACTAAAAAGAGCTCAGATACAAAGGAAAAGAAAAGGTTGTGGATTAAGATGGATAAGGAAAAGTTAAGAATTGTATTGACCTGAGACAAAAGAAAGGTTAATAAACTGCAAACTCAATCATAAATTTAGTAAGTGAAGATCTAATCCAAGCAGTTTTATTTCCTCTTTGGCCTGCTGCCTTTCTGGAGTAGAGGTCAGTATCCAGATAGTGAATACTTTAGGTTTGTGGGCTACACAGTCTGTGTCATAACTACTCAACTCTGCAGTTATAGTGCAAAGTAGCCAGCCAATATATAGCTGTGTTCCAGGAAAAGTTTATTTTACAAAAAGAGGGAGTGAGTCTGATTAGCGGTTTGTTCATCCCAGTCCTAGAGACTCATAAATGCTCATTACATTCAACTGAATCTGACATTGTTGGAAACCAAAATCTTGATCCTGTCCTTATCTTAATTTTAAACTGTGAGTCTACAAGTGACTTTTTTTTTTAAGATTTATTTATTTATGCATACAGAACTGGGGTACAGGCCAGAGGTGCAGGGGCGGTGAGAGGATTCACCAGAAACAGAGTGGGGAGTAGAACAGGCCGCCTGACAAAGTACACTGCTGAAGGGAGCAACAGGCTGGTCAGGAGAGGTCTGCCATGCTATGTGGGTCACCTCAGGGGCGGGGATCGAACTCATGCTACAGTAGCTTCAGCTTCTTAGGGCTGTGTTCGTACCCGCTGCACAACCAGGGAGTGCCCATGAGTGACTTTTAAGAAGTCACTTTGCGGCCCTCCCTGGTGGTGCAGCGGGTTAAAGCACTGCACTAAGAAGCTAAAGCCACTTCTGCATGAGTTTGATTCCCGCCTGCCCCAGAGGTGACCACATGGCGTGGCAGACCTCTCCTGACCCGCCCGCTGCTCCCCTCAGCAGTGTACTTCATCGATCTGCCTGTTCTGCTCCCCACTCTGTCTTTGGTGAAACCTCTCGCCACGCCTGAGCCTCTGGCTTGTACCCCAGTTCTGTATGCACAAATAAATAAATCTTTAAAAAAGAAGTCACTTTGCAAGCAAATCCTCTTAGACCTTCTGAGCTACATGGGATGGAAATTGAGCCCTGCTCTTTCTGCTAAAGAAACTATGAACATACTGTAAAATTTTGGGGGATCCTGCCCTTGGCCTAGTACCCAAAGCCATCTTTGCAAGCTCTATTCTGCATGCAGAAATGGGCTGCATGAACGGAAAGATGGTCTTTTCACACGCACTGACAAAGGAGCCAGGTAAAAAGATTTAATAGTGGGTATCAAATCCTGTGTCTCTATAGCTCATTCTTTAGCAAGGAAAGAATTAAATCCTGTATTGCCATCCTCTAGAATCAGCCTATCTTTAGGTTGGGACAGCTTAGTACAAAAATCCCTATCAAGAATAACTACATTCGTAATGTCAATGAATCCTTGTTCTTACCTATATAAACTAAATTCAAAGTTGTGTTTACTGGAACAGTTCACACAGAGTAAACTCTGTCAGGAAGCTTCCCGGTCCACATTCACTTTGTTATCAAAAATACTCTTTAACTCATTGTCTTTTAGACTTTAATTTTGGTAAACAAGACTAGCTGTCCCTGCCCAGTAAGGACTCCCCACAAAAATATGACCTTTACTCCTGAGACAAGCAGCCACTCCAAGGCGCCATCCTGTGTCTCCAACCTTTACCTTGCCTTCATTCCTGATGTCGTCAGTATAAATGCAAAATTATTTAAGGCAGCAGGCAAAGAGAAAAATCTTCCACACTAAAATAGGCAACACATTTCACCTTAAGCAGTGAAGACTTCCTGGAGTGGTTTTCTACCATACGGTGTGCTCTGCTCTAACCTAGACTTTTTGTTTCTATAGTCTAATAATCAAAAAACTGGGTAGGAAAACAAAGATGAAAAAAAAAATCTTACTAAATTATGAACTTCTTGAGGACAGGAACCATGTGTTATTTACCTTTATTATCATTATGCCTAGCCAAAATACCCTGGTGTGTGGCAGATCAGGTAATGTTTGGTGGGGAATAAGTAAGTTTGTCAAAACATACATGTTCTCCAAATCCCCTCAGGCATGCTTGAAAATCAGCAAAATCCAAAGGGAAGTTAGAAACTTTCCAAATGCAAGTAGGGGAGCAAACTATACCTCACTTTCTCCAACAGACTCACCATCTTGAGTGTTTGGAGTCAGGATTTGGGTCTGGAGTTCCTGCAGGCTAATTCCCAGACATTTGCAGACCTCCTCTGGGCTATAGGGCTCCGGGTGAAGGAAGTCCTCTGTGATCAGCAGCATTTCTTCCAGGGTGACCCCCAGTTTGGCCTGTACCTCCTCCAGTCGCAGTATTTTATCCCACTGCAAGTTTTTGTACTTAGCCAGGAGCTGCAAGTCCAAAGCAAGATAACCGTCAGCTTTCACTTCAGAAGCTGATATGTACTATTTTAATTAGAGAAATTCAACTTTAAGCTGTTGTTTCCATTCAGTCTATCCAAATTTCCCACCATTGCTTGAAAACGCACACTGGGTTCAGATGTTTGGAATTAAACATGCTTGTGTGACACTTACAATCTAGTTAAGTATTTGTCCTTAACAAAAAAAAGAAAAAAATGAATCCCGCACTGATTACTTTGCCTGTCACCACTTGCCCTCAGGGCCTTTCTTTGAATCATTTTGTTCTTTTATTCCTATTCAGTTCATCTCTAACACACAGTTCTCTATAAAGACTACAGAAAACTACTCACATCTCACGTGACCTGGGTCCTGAGGTGGACACTGTATGCCCGATTTCATTAAAGCACTTCCTGTTTACTACATGGCTCTTTGAAAATGGCTAATGAATTTAAGTATCTGGGCGTTTGGAGCAAAGTCCCAGATTTTAAATGAAAACCTCATTGGTGACCTTATGAAAAACTACTTCATTAGGTTGCTGGTCGTACGAGAGCATGATGTTTCTTCACCCTCAAGACAACAGTTTGGCTCCAATTGCATCTCTCCAACCTGCTGAGGGGGGTTAAGTACAAACCAAACCTTTTCAACCAGGTTTACTCATGGGAATCCCAAGCCAGGTCATTTCTCTCATTTTCCCCAAACTACTGACTAAACTCTCCACAGTCTAACAATCAAAACAGCAGATTTCTCTCATATGAGGTCTATGGTCTATAAAATTAATGCCGTGGGTGTGAAGACTGCAGGTGCAGAGAGTACAAACAGCAAAAAGAAGCTAGCAAAACCAGGGAAACTAACTTCGAAGGAAATGTGCATCTGATTTACTCTTCTATTACATTTGTGACTGGATTTCTTTCTTTTCTACAGGAAGCAGGGTTTACCAAAAGATCCTTGTACTTTGGTTAGGGCCACTCACTTCTGAAGAATGTTAATAACATAAGTCCTTATATTCATTAATCCAATTTTTTTCAAACTGGCTCATTTTTTTGAAAGCAGTTAATGAATTTATGGCAAAAATGGGAAGAGACAATAGTATTATATTTTTGTTGTTGTTCAATTATTTCACAGAATGTGGCGCCATTTTTAAAGCCAGAACACAAGCTAATACCTTCTGATCTTGCTTGTTTAGCATATTTAGTTCATTTTTATATGTGAACTGATAACCTCCACAGATTGGTTCATTCATTGATTCGTGCACCTATGATCTACTTGCCAATGTATTCCAAAAATAATTTAAGAAAACTGAGAAATATGTACATAAAACAAAAGAAAGATATAAAAGGCTTATAAAGAAAAGGAACTGAAATCGATCTAGAGTAACACTTTCTCAAAACACAGATTCAAATCAAACTGAGGTAAGCAACAAAGCTCACAGAAATAATTAACACTTGTACAGTGCTGTATGGTTTAAATGTCTTTTTTAGCTCTTAATCCCAACAACCCTGTGAGAAAGGCATTCTTAATTCTATTTAGATGCAAGAAGAGAGAAGGTCTTACCCAAAGTCACCTACCAAGTAAGAGTTGGAAAGTTAAGGTAGGAACTCTATTCCATTTGCCTTCCCCAAACCAACGTTCTCAATGAAACCTGCCTGATGTCCATGCCATAATTACTTACCTTAGTTCAAATCACCACTCACGTCTTAGAAGAGGATTTCTAAGCCCAAACTAAGGTTTGTGTTAGAAGTGAACATTCCATTGATTTTTAAACACTTCGATAAATGTATTCCTTAAATTAGGAGAGTAGACTGTCTTCCTAAGACCCTTTCAAGTCAATCATTATTCCAAGGCACCATCTCTGGCCTCCCTTGAACAAATCACCAGCTTCCGGCACTTATTCCCAGGAACCTGGCTGAGGGATGTGTGAGGAAGAAGTCTGAGAGGGATGCCTGCAACCACAAGGTAGTTTTCAAAGTAGCCTCCCAGGGTGCTTTTCTGGCCTACGCAGAGGCACTGACACACAGAAGTTCACATTCACTCCTGCAAAATCCCTATTTGCTGTGGGGACCACTTAGCCCTCAGCTGGAAGTTTCACACAGCCAATTTGGTGTGTATTTTAATTAGGAATGAAATCTACCACATGTCCTCAATGACAGCTGCATGGCCAGAGCCGCCGAACAGTGCACTACTTGTGGGAGTAAAATAGGAAAGCCACTTAAGCCCTTTGAAATTTGGCTCAGGAAACAGAAAGATGACTTGCAGATGAGGGAAGTGGGTGGGGAAGATTGCTGTAACTCAAAGACTGAACTCGTTGAGGGATTTGTCACTGTGGTGCCGGTGACTGGCCTACTTCACAATTTGTAAAGCAGGGCTGTGAGTCAGGGCTGTGGGGTGTTTCATCACAGGTTCCTCGCTCAGTAGCAGAGTGGGCAAGGAGGGGAAAGCCACTCTTTGCCAACAGTCACCATTTTCTTTTCACCACTGCAAGCACTGGATATTCACTCCAGGGCGCTTCCTGAGCTTATCCCATGGACAAGAAAGGAGGCAACAAATACTTTGTCTGCCATACAGAAACAGGCATATTAATGATTTTAGGACCTTGCTTTCTCTCAGAAGCTGGCAATGAAAGAGAACTGGGAGGGGGGAGGGGGATTCTTAGAAACAGTGGTAAAGTAGTAGGTGAGACAAAAAGGTGCACTGAGATGAACCAGTAAAGCCGGGCCTGTAGGGACCAGGTAGGCCTTTGGGACCCACCTGTATTTACAAACTTCAGATGTGTTTGACCAGTATTCAAGAAAGCTGGGCTACTTCCCCACTAATGCTCATCATCACTGCCTGAGGACTGTGTCCTATGATACTGGTCCCTGCTACCCACAGGTTGTTCAGGTGTAAGCTCTAAGTTTACCTGCAGCCAGAAAAGTCCTTGGTTTGAGAGGGTAAGAAGGTATGAGAGTAACAGCATGCCAGGCTGTGGGGGTCAGGGCCTGTGTGTCAGAATCCACCATTCTCACTTGTTCATTGCATGTGGCAATATGGACCAAACCTTGGATAGAGTACCAAGACTTCATCACCAGATCCACAAAGGGTATAAACTTTCTAATATTTTTCTGAGTTCACTTTAAAAACAACTCATTCAACAAGTTGTTTCCCACACGACAAACGTAGCTGTGGTGTTATTTTTGGTTATTTCAACCACCCATGCTTATTTTTGAAATTTAAAAAAAAAAAATGCATGCAAGTTCGAAGTTCTAAAGAAAACACAAAGTGAAAAAAGCATCTGTACACACACCAGTGGGATAGTGGGATAATCACCAATTGCCCTTTTGATAATCATATAATTTATTTACACATACTTTACCCAAGCCTACATAGAGTCTGACATAAATGGATTCACACATAGCCATTTTTATTGTGGGCTTTTTTTTCTTGCTTTTCTTTTCCTCATGCCCTTCCCATTGTGTTCTCAGTACTGCTCAGTCATCGTGACTTCTGTATCCATGTTCCACACATTGCCAGCCAGTATGAACGCAGTCACCACACTGACCTTCCCCAATGGCAGACATCTCCACCGCCCATGTTGTCCATATTAGTTTGCAGGCCACAGAATAAATCTGCGGGTAGCCACACAGCTGTGCAGAATAGACCTGCTCTCATCTTCAGTGCATTCACAGCACAGGCTTTTTACCTCCAATGCACCCCAAGTGCTGTGCTCTGGATCTCATCCACACCTAGCTTCTGCGGGGAAGCAACAGGGACTAAGACCTGGACTCCTGAGTTTGGTACAAAACACAGCCCAACTTGGCCTTTAAAGCCCAATATGTAAAATGGGCCCTTAATAGCAACCTCACAAGCCACCATGAAGATTAAGATAACAAAAACACAGCACCGTTCATGCTCAAAAGCAGCCCTCTGCGAGGGTAGTTCCCAATCTTCCCTGTATTCCCCCACCTATCTAGCAACTTCTCCCCACTGACATCTTTTCCCATGTCTTCAAACATAAACGGATATCGCTTGTGTTAAAATTCCTTGTTCCTGAAGTTACCACTCTCTATTGCTCCCTCTCTTTCACAGTCCACAACTAGAATGAGCTGCTCATGGTTACCACGTCCAGGCCTCAGTAACCACTCCAACTAGGGCCTTCCAAAGACCCTTCTGGATCATCACTCCTCTTTCAAAATCACTGGGTTTTTCTCAGACCCCTTAGTCCTTAAGGAATCAGTAGATTCTAGCACTCTTCAGAGCTACCTTTTCCAATTTCCCTGTTTTACTGAATTTTCCGGGTTTGCCTTGCCTTTCTCTGGTCCTTCCGCCAGTTCCTTCCATGGTTCACTTTTGTCCTTTCAGTGTTTAATTGAAGCCGTCTCCTAAGTTTAACCTCTGGTCTCTGACCTTGTCATAGTCTTTCTCTCAGCAAACTGAACCTAGCTCTGCCTTTCAACTATCATCTCAGAACAAATACATCTGAAGACTAATGCCCCTAACAAAGAAAAAGATTCCAAACTCAAATCCTAGCCATTTAGAAGAACATTTCATAGGGAAGTCTCCCTGTCTCCCTCTTTCCAGTCAACTTCCATCCTACTTCACCAAGCCTATTGGGGGCTGCATTATGATTTCTATAATGTGCAGCCCCATTCCAGGAAGTGAATAAGTTCCATAAAAGTGCAGCCCTAAAAAAAAAAAAGTGCAGCCCTGACCTGACAGGCCAACGCTTTACCTCCACTCAGACACATGTGCATGCAATGAGTACTTACTCAATGACTCCCTACTGCTTTCCAGGATCTAGACAGACAGCAGCAAATAAAGCATTCATAACCCCTGACCTCATGGAGCTCACAGTCAACCCAAGGAGACAGATGTTAAAAAATAATTACACAGTGAATAGCATAACTCAATTGCGATAAACTGCTATAATGGAAAAATACAGGATGTGGTAAGAGCATGTAAAAGAACACTTAACATAATGAGAGTGGGGAGGGTGGTCAGGGAAAACTTACTCAAAGTAACTGTATGTGTGCCAAAGGAAGAAAGAAATCCCAGAGAGCCTTCTGCCAGACCCTTTACCAAGTCTAGTCACAGCTTCTCTCATACCCCTCCCTTTTTTATCCCAACCTCACTGACACTCTTAAGTCTCATCGACCAGTGCAAAAAGTAATTTTTCTAAAATACCTGCTACCAAAACCAGTGGCTTCCCACTGCTCCAGGACCAAGCCTGGGCGGTCCCTGGAACAGCACTGAAGGCCCCACTATAGTCTGGTTCCACAAAACACATCAATCCTATTCCCCAGTATGTGTGTTCTCTACCCTGTAGCTTGGACTCCCCATTCTCGGAACACCCCACTCTAGAGTCTTGGCACAGTGTGTCCCAATGAATTAACAGACTCAGTGAAACTGGCCACATTCTTGGGTATTTGGTTTTGCCCCACTCAAATTCAAGGAAACTGCCAAAGCCCCAAGAATATTATGCCTACTTCTCACATGCAACCACTAGGCAGAGAATAAGTTCCATATTGACCTCGAAGTAGTTGGAGCTAAAAAATCCAGTGAGTGATGGGCCCTGACCAGACAGGCTCTGTAAAGAATCCCTGTAAATCTTCCTTGAAGTGTCAAAGGACCACATGAAACTCTCTCCTTCATTACTTCACATGTTGCCACAAGTTGCTCAGGGAATGCAAAACAGCATAACATCCTTTCCCTCTCTGACTTCCCATAATCCTTATTATTGGCATCACACATTTTATCCCACAATATAATTGAGGGATACTCTCTTTTATAGACAGAAACAGTTATGGAGAAGTTTAGGCACTGAATATGTATAAAAGATGAAAAATTGTATGCTCGTTAAAAATTTCTGGTCACTGTTAATTTAAGAATATACAAATATGCTTCCTTAAAAGTATCATTTACGCAAGTACTGTAATAATTATAAATCTCTATTAAGTTTGCTTTGAACATTTTTTTAAAGATATTTTTTATTTATGCATATAGGAACTGGGGTGTAGGTCAGAGGTACCAGGGTGAGAATCTCCACCAGAGATACAGGGGGGTGCAGAAAAGGCAGATCCATCAAAATACACTGCTGAGGGGAGCATCAACTAAAACAGGAGAGGTCCGCTGCACCATGTCAGTCAGCATGGGATCACGTTCAGGCTGCAGAGGCCAGAGACAGCCTGACAGCGCTGAGACCTTAACCCCTGTGCCACCAGGAAGGTCGGGCTTTGAAATGTTTTTAGTTCAAATGATTCTATAAGACTCTTATTTTTTATGAATCTGCATCAATTAGCTTTTGGAAGCTGCTGGAAAGAAGAGGAGAGAGAGAGAGAGAGTGAGCGAGTAGGAGAGAAAGGAAGTTTGAGAATATAAGAAATTATCAACTTTAACATAAAACGAAATCAACTTTATTGATTTAGTCTAGTTCCCTGTGCTAAGTAGATATACTCATTTTCAAAAAAGGAGCTTGGTGAGATAGGAGGATAGGGAAAATATGTGTTATTCATTACAAACATACTATGCCCAGCTCCGATCAGACTCACTTTCAAAACTATCCTGATTAACCAACCACTTTGCCACTGACATTACATTTTTATAGTCCAAAACAATAGAGAGTTTATCCAGCTTGAGACAAGCTTCTTTACTTTTTAACATGGGTGTTTATTTCCCATTAATGAGAACATTTCCAAACAAAAAAATTACATTCATTCACATGTGGCCAAAAAATGGAAGAATGAAACCGTACTGTAAAGCAAGTGCATTTAGCAGAATGTCAGCCCATGTTCCTAGGCAAAGCCCACCCCTGAATTACTATCTATATGTGAAGTTCACATTCACAGTTATATTTTCATTTCCCTTCCAAATATAATCTTGAATCTTAGTAACTGCTGCAATGATTGAGAAAGTCTTGTGTTTTTCTTCCTTCCATATTTTCAAAGAAAGAAAAAAAGACTATTTAAGCCAGTGTGTTGCATCTATACCATATGGGATGAGTTGAGTATGTATTAAAAAGTTGAATTCATAAGTCAACTTTGTGGACCAAAATTTACCTTTAAGATGCACATGAAGTTATACAGTTAACTTTGGAAGACATCTTTAAGAAGAGGTTCTACAGTGTATAGTTTGCAGTTATGACTGCTTCCAGAAGATATGTCTTTGTTCTAGTTAACTCTCAAAAGACATCCTGATATTTTCATTACATTCAGAACCACAACTTTATTCCTCACTTTCTTCTTGCACTATAAAAAAAGTAGTCGCAACATAGACCCACTTCCTAGGCTGCCTATTTGCTTAGCTCCCCTTGTAGAGGGTGTTTAATTTCATGATAAAACTTTGAAAACAACTGTGTATGTTTGAGGTCTCCTCAGGAAGGCAACACTTACTCATCGACCTCAAGATAAAACATCAACAAAAATAAGCCCTCAAACAAATAAGACACTAATTTCTTCCATCTTCTGAAGAGGAAGCTTGTCCTAAAGCAAAACAAGCTCACTGAAACCTTAATATTGTACAGTTTACTATTGCTTCATATATGTGTATGAAACTGGTAGCATGTACAGTTTAAGAGCAAAACATTTCTTTTACACATATTTTAGAAATCATCTAAATAAGTAAATTCCAATTTTAAAACCTCTACATGATGATTGTAAAACACTTAATCCCAAAATTATCTATGAAAAAAAATATTTCTGGAATCATCATATCCCTACTCTCCCCAATTTTAAAGCTGCAGTGGGGTGGGAATGAGAAACGAATGGCAAATCAGTCACAAGGGATAATGACACCTTAAACATTTCCCTGCTAGTTAGGCAGCGCTGGGCACAAAATAGGCATTTGGGGGAAAAACATGAAATAGAATTGAGAAATAGGTCGGGGCAGGTAACTCAGGGGAGTGGTCATTCATTTATCCAACAAATGTTTACCCTGTCCCTACTTTGACGTAAACACTATGCCAGGATTGAAGGATAGAAGGGGCATCCAGATGGGCATAGTCTTGGATCTCAGGTCAGGTAAACTAAAACAGGAGAGAGGAGAAAGGCATTGAACAACTATGCTAAATGTCATAACTGACAAGTGCAAGCGCTGTGAAATATTAAGGGGGCCTGAACTTATCCTGGAGCAAGAGTCAGAGGAGACTTCCCAGAGGATATTTAAGCTGAGACTTCCAAGAGAGCAGGGGAAGAATGTTCTGGATATGTGCCAAGTCCCTGAGTGAGAAGGCGCATCGACTGCAGTGTAACAGAAGTGGGGCTGCTCAGAGAGGCGATAATGAAGTGTGTAGGCATCAGACCTCCAGGGATCATTAAGTGGTGACGAGGCCTTTTTTTATTTTATTCTGGTGAATGGAAAGTTTTCCCAGAGATGGAAAGCTTTTAAAAGGCATTAGGCAGGGAAATTACCTGATCAGATTTAAATTTCTAAACCTCATTCTAACTGCTATTTCAAGAATGACTGGAAGAAAGCACAATGGAGCTTCTGACACAGAATCCACTCCCCAGCACCCAGCTTCAGTACTCTCAACTTTCTGGTCAGATCATGTTCCATTCTGAATCACTTTTTGCAGTAGCTAGTTACATATCACCTGATCACAAACTAACAACTTCCAATTTGTCTTCCCAGTTTAAACTCTATCTTCTCTACTCTATTTTCACGTTCTATATCATTGCATAGTCTCATGCTTTCAGGGATACAAGAGATCTTCTGCGAACACTTCCACACTGCTTTAAGGCTTGACTGGCAAGGGTCTTCTAAGCTGTAGAACAGAGAATTATCAGGATTCCCTTCAGGTTTGTGTTTCCCTAGAAAGCATGTAGTGTCTTACAGTAAGGCTGTATCTTAAGGGTGTTCACTCAAACAATGGCCCAGCTAAAAAATAGTACACCTGAGGGAATTTGCTAAGGAGGCAAAGAGGCAAGAAGTCAAAGACTTCAGCTGTCTTTGTTGAGGAAACAATCCAGTCATTCTTATCAATTGCCTCCATCTATCATTCTCCATCTATAGAGTTAACCCATGGCCTATGCTTCACAGATAGAAGCTATTCCCTTCCTCTCAAGATGAGGGAGGGACCCTCACTTCCAAAGAAAGTGCAGGACACACAATTAGGTTTATTTATTTCTTGAATTTGGGATAAAATTGCTGTGTGCCTGAAGGCTTCCCATCAGAATGCTATTACAGTCAGAATATTGCTATAAATTTTAGGTAAAGTAATAGAGAACAAAGAGCAGGACAAAAGAAAGCCTACTGGTTTGCCAAGCTCATACCTTTGCAGCCAGCCGACACTCCATCACCCTGATATTGAAATGTGAAGTTGCTGCCTTATTCATTTCCACACAACTGTTGGCAATCACAAACACTGCTCCACTTGGGAGTTTCACATCGGTTGCCCTCAAAGGACTAAATTCTATTAACTTGGCCTATAAGAAGAAAAGTGACAGGTGAGTTCTAATGTATTGGGATTCAGAAAATATTTAATCATTTATCCATATATTTACCTGAGAAAATTTCTCCAAAAATGCATTCATCTATTCAAATATTATTCATTCATTGACTTGTAGGCTTTATATAGAAGGAACTGGAAATACAACACTGAAGAAGAGAAACAATATTCCTGCCTTTATAGAACTTATACTCAACTGGGAAGGGCTATCATACAGACCTACATTTCCCAGTTATATTAAAAGAATAGCAAAGCACAGAGCAGTATCTAGAAACAAAGATGAAGCACCCTACGAAACTAGAGCCTGGTTTAGGCTCCTGTGAAAAAAGGGGGAGATTTACATTGAATCTTAAAGGTTGAGAAAGAGTAGGTAGACAAAGAGTTTCTTTCCCCAAATTGGAAGCCAAGAAGAGGCAACATATACAAGTTCAGAGGTTAAAAAAAAAAATGTGGAATGTTAATAGAGCTTTTGGTATTGGGATTTGTGTGGAGCCTATATAGAGCTTGACGCATGAGGAGTGGTAAGAGGTAAGGGTGGAGGGGTAAAACAGAGGTCAGATCATGAAGTACTTTGCAAACCCAAAGAATCTGGATTTTGTTCAGCCTCGATAGCTAACTTATATTACTATCAGGACCCTTTCCAGTATTTCTGCTTGTCAGGTCTTATCCCAAACACCCAAAGTATTTTCTTAGCATGAAACTAAATTTTCCCCTGGCTCATATCTTTGGCTTAGAGTAATCAACAACAAATATTCTTAATAAAAAGAAATCCAGGTATTCTTGGAAAGTAGCCAAGTCTGCAGGGGTCTGATGAAAAATGAAGAAAAGATTTAAAAGACATGTCTGCTTCTATTTTGGAGTTGGGCACTTTATGGGCAACAACCAGAACCTCTGCTCTACCTAACAGAGTTGATATCCAAGGGGAAGTGGTATTCATCTAAGGAATTCATTCCTGGCTTACAGTCAACATTCTTTTTCCCACCACTGAAGCCCCAAAAATGTTGACAGAGAAAAATGATACCCGGGAGTAAATTATAAAAAGAGGGGGTGTAAATATATGTGGTAAGGGAACTAACATTTGGGTTTAAAACCAACATGAGATTACGAAAATGCCATGAGGTAAAGTGATTCGGGACAAGAGCAGTAAAGGAGGTGCCGATAATAGGAAGTTGAGAAATCTTAACAATGAGGAGAATTAGAAGAGGGTGGGGGGAACTAGACACAGGAGAAAAACAACTTGGAATACCATTCTGGAAACTTAATGAAGTGACTGACACAAAGTAGAGTATGTGAGCTGGTGGTAACCTTTATCTACAAAGCAGCTGAGAAATAAATACCATCTTACAAAGAAGTTGATGGAATAGGCTCCCTCAGAAACAAGCATTCTGGGGATCTCCAAACTTTCCTCTGAATGTGCATTTCCCCTATTTGATATTTTCATAGAGTTTATGCCACCTACTGTTCCTTCTTCTGCGAGAAATGATATGGACTGGTCCATCCCTCCTCCTTCAGTGCCAATATAACGCTCGCTCTTGGCACAGATTTCTGCGAGTTCTACCTGGAAAAGTAAACAGTGATTTTCTCTGTGAGGATAGTTATCATCTATTTTCATTCATTTTTATTTCTCCAGGCATGGCATCCGATTTCAGTGCTAACTCTGATCAGATGATAGTAGACCCTGTGGAATTGAGTTAATGATCACTCTAAGACCACCACTGAGCTCAAACAGGAAGACCTATGTGTCTGCAATGGGATGGGAGGAGATGTTGACCAAGCGCTATGGTTTTCTATTCCTAAAATAGTCCATTTATCCTATCTTCTAATTGTTCCCTCCCTTTCTAGACTAAAAATCTCATAAAGATAGTTAGTCATTTCTGCCCCAGTTTCTCTGGGCTCCCAACAGTAGACTAGTCCACAGTCTTCCCACCACCAAACTGAGGTCATCCAACTTTAGTTTCCAATCCAAAAGTAATACTGTTTTCGTGGCACTTCTTTTAAATATGAGAATCAGAACTAGCATCAGTCCACCAAACACATTTTCCTCCAACTAAGATGAAGAGGTCCAATACATGAACACAGCTCTCATTCAAACTGAAAATGCCAAAATATCTGTTTACAAATCTTCAATGACTGCCTATTGATTAAAGAAGTAAGTTCAAACTCCCCAACCTGGCATTTCAAAGTCTTCCAAAATGTGGAATCAATTTGCAATGAAATTATATCATCTGCCACTCTTTTCCATAGTATCTGTCCCCTGGGCCACCTCACACATTTATGTAGTCTGGCATTCTTTCCTGTCTTCTCTCATATAAATCCTAGAACCATTCAATATCCAGTTCATTGGCTAACCTACCTGCTTGGGGTGAGTCAGAAGACTGGGTTCAAATCTTCCTCCATCAGAGACTGTTCCTCAAATATTGTTCCCATTATGACAACCCCTTCCTTGCAATTCTTATATATAGTAGCATTATCTGTTCATTCCTATTTTCTTTCTTACTCAGGCCCATATTTCTCACCTCATTCACTGGAAAAATCCTAGAGTAATCATTCTGAAAATCAATATAGTCATTCCTTGTCTGCTTAGTTGCCAAATTCTTGAGGTTCAGCCTCTCAGCATGGTTCCCTTGTTCCCTTGTCTTTAGTAACTTTTCCCTTGCACAATTCTCTAGGCTATTCTCCCATCACTATCCCTACCTACCAGCCCTAAACTTGAACCATCAGGAGTACTGAACAAATGTTCATGTCCATCACCCCTGGGCTTTCTCATCACTCAGTGTCTTGAAAAGCTCAATTTTCTGTCCTCTTTTCAATATTCCTTTTCTAAAGTGTCTCCCACTAGTCATTAAGGTGAAATCAAGTAGCACCTCTCCCTGGACCCAGCACCACCACCCAAGTGTGCACAAACCACATAACCCTCCTCTGCACTCCTGCATGGAACTCATTCTCATTTATCAAATATTAAGTGTGGGTGGGCTTGCTTATCTCTTTATTCACCAGCCTAAGAAAGCCTAGCAGCATCCAGACCAGAATGTGACTGAATCACTGAATCACATCATATTTATTATTGTTCTCTGAGCATTCAAGTTTCTATCACACCTTTTTCCCCCCAGAAAAGTATCAGTCCTGTGAAAGACAAAGTAGTGTTTCTTTGGTGTTACTGTCTTACCCAATACTGAGTACACAGTAAAGATGCCATAAAATGCTTACTGTTTTCATTGCTTGAGAAGCACTGTCCAAACACCAGACACCTGTGTCATATTCCTTGTTGGTCATGTGAAGTCACTAACATTACTTTGCCTGGGATATGAGGTACACTTGAGATTTTGACATAGTGGTCAGTATGCACAAGCTGTTGAACACACAGACTGTCCCACTATAATAGGCACATAAGAAAATAAAATAGTTAACAAAAGGTCCAAACACTTGAATTTTAATGTGTAAAACACATACACACATCTACAAACCTCCAGTGAAGAAGTTCACAGCAGCCTTCAGTGGAAATGAGGGAACCCTGTGATCCCAGCAAGCTGGGACTGTAGACCAGTGAGAAAAGCAATCACATCAGCAATAGTCACATTTGTGTGTCAAGTACCTGGAATTATCTCTCTTGAGAGCATTATCTCCTTTACATCTCCAAATAGCCCTCTGCCGACCACCATTATACAGATGAGAAAAATGGAGGACAGAACAGAAAGGGGAAGAGCCAGGATCTGGACCTCTGCTGGACTCCAAAGCCAGGGTTCTTTTCTCAGTGGATTTCAGTTACTTCCCCTACTGCCATCCTTCATTGGAGACAATATAACCTGTTTTTCCATTACCTCAACGGATAATGAAACAATAAATGATATCACCAAACTTTAAATATTCTCCTCTGAGAAGAAAAGAAACTAAAGCATCAAGAAATACCAGATTCTTAATTGTTTATTTTTTAATCTCCTGATGTGTGGTAACAACTATGTACTTTAACCAAAGTAGGATGCTATTTTCAAAAAACTGTGACTCTGAAGTGTCCACCTACAGAATTGGGGACCTTTCTTAACCTTATTGGTGCCTCTCAGATGAATTCTGAGAGACAATATCCAAGAGTTCTAAGCGTGAGAAAATAAAAAGAAAATGGAGTAATGAAGTTGAGGATGAAAAAATGGATGATTCACTTTACAGTTCACTAAAAACATGAGGGGTTCAGTAGTAAATCTACAGGGAGAAAAGAAACTACAAATTTCCAAAACTTGGTGAAAGCCCAACTCTCCTGCCAACTATCTATGTGACCTTAGATATATTGCTTAGTTTTTCCAAGTTTCATTTCATCTGGAAATGCCTTGTTTTAGCAGATAAAATTTATTGAGTGCTTACTATATGCCAGGTACTATTCTAATTGCTTTGCATGAATTAATGATTTACTTTTTTAAAAGATTTATTTATGCATACAAGAAATGGGATATAGGTCAGAGGTGCAGGAGGTAAGAGGATTCACCAGAGGCAGAGTGGGGAGCAAACAGGCAGATGAACTGAAATACAGTGCTAAGGGGAGCAGCAGGTGGGTCAGGCGAGGTCTGCCACACCATGTGGATCACATCCCTGGCCATGGATCGAACTCAGTGCTGTGGTGGCTGTGGGTAACATCACAGTGCTGTGCTTCAACCTATTATGCCACCAAATTTACTTCTTATCACAACCATATAAGATAGGTACCTCCTCATTCTATAGATGAGGCAATTGAGTATGTTAATAGCTGAGACGAAGCTAGTAATTAATCATCGTGCTGTATTACCATCCACCCATATTAAGAGAAAAACACACACCTCCCTGATCATAGAATCATGGTGATGAATCAATGAATTATATAAAAATACCTCATAATCTCTAAAAAAAACTATACAATTATTAAGCTTATAATTTTTGCATGATGAGCAAGAGAATCATTTGGTTGCCTAACTAAAGAAGTCCCAAGTCAAAAGTAGAGACAGGTATTAATTAATCTGGAAAATAAGAATATACTTGAACATTCAGGGATAGAGAACTTAAAAATATTCTGGGTACCCTAAGAGAACCAATTCAACAACAGAGAATAACAGAGCCAGAGGGAAGCCAGAGAGAGTGGGTGCTCTGTTGACAGTATTTCTGTTGGGGGACCCCTATCTACCAAACAAAAACATGTGTACACTGTATATTTCAACTGCAGGCCACAGACTCACTTCCTCAGTGGTGCCTGACTTCTACCCTTTCGCTAAAAAGGTAAAATAGTTTTTACCTTTTTATGAGATGTGAAAAAACTAAAAACAAAGGGTTTTTGTTTTTGTTTTTCAACTGCCTCAAATCCCATTTAAGGAAAAACTTGCATGCTTCTAGGAATAAATAAAAATGAAAGCTAAGCCCATAGTCTTAGCCGGAGACAGCATGCTCTGAACTGAGCAAACCAAATGGGAGCACCTTAACGGCAGGAAGTGTACATGGGAGCAGAACCCCCCTGTCATTCTGGATGATGTAAGGGAGGCCTGTGGTTCTGGCATGCCTTTTCTATCTTAGGGGGCGTTGGAAATTTCCTCCAAGAATTAGAACCAGGCAGTGACTCACAAAGGCACAACATCAATACTCAGTATCTGAATATGGAATGATATACCAATAGATTTCATGAGCATAGGAAAGAGTGGTGAAAACATTAGCACCAGAGTATGGAACAAAACCCAAGGGAAGTTAATTTCAAGGAAAGAGCAAAGCAAATTGCAGCATCTTTGTACTCAGCAAAGGACAAAGTCAACTTTTCTTTGATGCATGGAACACTCTGAGGCTCACCCACTCGGCCTATCTCTCTCTCTCATACACATAAACACACACACACACACACATAAACACACATAACTTTAGAACCCTCATGTTAGGCTCACCCACTCGACCTATCTCTCTCTCTCATACACACAAACACACACACACACACAAACACACATAACTTTAGAACCCTCACGTGAAAACAGCAGTGCTAGCCAAGAAGAGATTCATCCTCCTCCCTACCAATGTATTTTCTTCTACAATTCCACCTAAGCTCTTCAAGAACCCCAGGCACCTCCAAACTACTCATTTGTAGCATTTAACTCTTTCCTTTCCTGGATAATACTTGGTCTGAGAATCATTAAGAAAGACAATGAGAAATTTTCCAATGTTTATAGCCAGTAAGTTCATTTCTGTTCTGATTCCTGCCCTCTGGATAGTTAGGAGAAAACTGACATTATTCATAAACTTTCTTTTTAAGGATAGTTAATAAGGCTAATTTAGTCCTTTGTGTGGTTCTTCTCTTAAAGCAGCCTGGGAAAGAACCAAAAGTCACATGAATTTCCAAATTAAACAGCTTTCCCTCTGCTAGCCTATGAGGCTCCAGTAAGAAGAGAAATACCAGGATTAAATTTAACAGTCTCTGAGAAAGGCTAAGGATTCATGAATGTTGCCCAGCTAAACCTGGATATTTATAAAAACAATAATAATACAAAAAGATTCAAAATGTAACACAGCCAACTCTATCTTTGTTTAGAAGTTTTACTGAGAGTATTTAGAGTAACTTCCTAG